TTATGGTTCAACATGTCTTTTCAGTGCTGCAGTTTCCAAGGTCAGAATTGCCATCTCGTTATCAAACCTCCGATACCTGAGAAGCAACAAGAAGAAGACTAGTCTTGGAAAATGTGGGTCCACGTACAAAGTTTTTGAAATATACATCGAAGTTAAGAAAATAAATTGGAATTTGACAGAAAGTGTTATTTGAAAAGTTGTAGAAAAAGAATTGTTAAAACTTCTTCTTTGTGTTTCCATTGTCCTTATTTGAATTATATCTCTCTTTTGAAATTGCTGTATTTGAGCGTTTGAGATTAGACAAACCAAGGTAAGTTAGTTTTGACAAAATTGCTTTCAATAATGTTTGCCATTTTAAAATTTCTTGCTTGCAAGAAGAAAAGCAGGATATTTTGCTCTCTAATGATTTAGCCTGAAATCTTGGACGAATTGTTAAATTGTGCTTCAATAATTTCAATTAATTATGTTATTGATAAATTGTAAGGGGTGTTCTTTTTCGATGTATAGAACTTTAAGTTGCAATAAAACAACAATGGATTATTCGATTGACATGAATTTTATTTATCCGAAAGATAGTCTTGTGGCATTACAGTTTAAATATGATTTCCGGCATATGACCGCCACGGCTGGCGCGGATGTAATCCAATCTGGACGTCCAATTTTCGATGACTTTTTTCATTATTTGTGGCCGTATATCGGCAATAACACAGCGAATGTTGTCTTCCAAATGGTCAAGCGTTTGTGGCTTATCCGCATAGACCAATGACTTTATATTGCCCCACAGAAAGTAGTCTAGCGATGTTAAATCACAAGATCTTGGATTCCAATTCACAGGTCCAAAACGGGAAATTAGGCTGTCACCAAACGCGTCTTTCAATAAATCGATTGTGGCACGAGCTGTGTGACATGTTGCGCCGTGTTGTTGAAACCACATCCCCTGGACATCATGGTTATTCAGTTCAGAAATGAGTTAGTAATCATAGTTCTATACCGATCACCATTGACTGTAACGTTCTGGCCATCATCGTTTTTTGAGAAGTACGGACCAATGATTCCACCAGTCCATAAAGCGCACCAAATAGTCAGTTTTTCTGGATGTAACGGTGTTTCGACATACACTTTAGGATTAGCTTCGCTCCAAATGCGGCAGTTTTGTTTGCTGACGTAGCCATTCAACCAGAAGTGCGCTTCATCACTAAACAAAATTCCCTTATGAAAATCGGGAACAACGGTAATCTCGTTTTGGACCCATTGGCAAGCAAACGTTGTTCAGGAGAATAAATAACTTGACAGCTGTTAAATCGGTCGCCATCTTGAACAGTAATGCCAACTTAAAAATCTATACATCGGAAAAAAACACCCATTATATAGCTGACCTTGTACAGCCAGGCATACCACAGGATAGAATTCGGTTCTACAGCTGCTAGGCCCAGTAGCAAGTTGATGGCTACACGAATGATCATGTTTTTGAGCATGCTTTCAAAGATTACAACTTGATACCAATTCTTCACCTACCCCTATTCCAACTCATCACACAATACTTAAACGCCTGAAAGTCTTATCCACCAGCCAGCAAAAATAAAAACGACAGAAGATGAAAAAGCTTTGTCGAAGAGGTGCCTAAACGACGCTGTGATTGCGATTCAGAAACAAAGGAGGTATTTTCCAAACCCCAGCAGAAAACCACATACGCACACACATTTTCAAGCAATTCTATTTCTGACATCCTTAGATGGAAGTTATTCAGTTTAATCTCAAGCAGCACATCTGACCCGATAACGAAACACGCACATACAACCTAAACAAATTTCGATCAGATTAAACTCTATATTGGGGTGCGTTGCGTGAAACTCTTAATAAAATTATCCGAGCGACAGACAGATCTACCGATCTGTTGTAATTCTATTTCGGTCCAAATTTTCCAAGTTTATATCCGCTATTTTCCACCCGCTGATAAATTTTCGTGCTAATGCTTGATAAATTAACACAGAAATTCCTCAATATGTTGGTGCGTCCCCATTTCGAATTTTCCTTCTTTAATTTAATTAGATACAAAGTAGGCTTGGATCATTTTATTAACATTCGTGTAGTGGGCCATATTGAAACTACGAGAATTGGATGAGATGAATAGGAGGTATAAATAAAAAAAAATAGTTTTGCACTAGGGTTAGATTTTGGTTGCACAATTTTGTATTAGAATGAAAAAAATTGTGTAACAAGCAGTGTAACAAACATGTAAAGCTTTTTTGACAATATATGTTTTATGTCCAAGGAGTTCTAATGTTAAGGAAAATTTGCAACTGCAAGAAATTGCATTTATTTATCACATCAAATAAAGGACCTATCTTTTTCTTCTTCTTCTTTAAATGAGGTCTTCCATATCTTTGTCATAGTGAATCCTCACCTAATGACGAAGTTCATCATTCGTTCTATCCCTTTGGTGGTCTCTCTATTAATTTTATTCCCAGTAGTATAATTTTGTCCAGTTTTGACAAACTGGTGTTGTTGCTTATTTTTACATATTAATTTGAGAATGTTTTTCTTATTCTACCTCATTTTGTCAAATCTTGGATTCCACTTTGCTCTCTAGTTCACTCTGTCGTACAGTGATTTTTTTTACAAGGTGTGTGGTATCTGAAGTTATCTCTCCAGAAATATAAAAAAAGATTTTATCATTTGTGCTTGTTTTAAAGTACTTATTAAAAATGCAAGTCACTTACACTCTCAGAAGTATTAAATAATAGTGCACGGCAATGCTCTGCCCTATAAACGAAAGCCCGTAAAAATAATTCATTGTGATTCGACAACGGGATGTATACCAAGCCCTTTGGCCTTATGGGCAAAAAATATAAAAGATCCATTTGTTGACTAACATGATGGTACTACGACAGAACTTGTTGAAGACTAGTTTAGGAATACGTGGTTACCAAATATACTACCATAAAGCGTGGTAGTTATGGACTATCATAGTTGAAGATTGAAATATATGGAATGAGTTTAGTGTCTTATGAAGAAAATGTTTTGGGAAACTTGAAATTTATCTGTAGACCTCACCCTGACTGGAAAATATCAAACGTAATGAACATGAATTACCAAGGGAAAGAATAACTATAAGCTTGGATGAGGTCTGTGGAATGGGGGTGGGTCGTTACAAATTTTTTATCTTTAATACTTTTTTATAATTATTTTTGACACGGTCCTTAATTTATATACACAGCTAGTTTCGGTTAGTATAGTAATGTGTATGTTTTTTACATATGTTACTTAATTGAATATAACTAATATAGTGTAGAGATCCACTCTTACTTTTTGTGTTATATTGTTAGAGTAAAATATTACATAAAATTCGTAACAAAAACCTTCTAAAGTACTCGCGTTCTCAGCTGCTTTCGAAATTGCTCGTGTGAAGAATCATTTTTTCACCACTTCATATGTAAACTGTTTTTCATTTTTCCACAGTTCTAAGTTTAGCCGCGAAAATGTCATTCTATCAATAATAATAATAGAATAACTATATTCTATACTTTGTCCAGAATAACATTAAATCCGAAAAATGATTGTTCATTCACAGAGAATATTCATATTCCATTATTGAATTCATGCTTCATGCGTAGGTATTTTATAGACTAAATTGGCGAGTTTAAGGTTAAGCAGCAAGGTATACAGAGTTACTTATGTCACTATCATTTAGCCCTGCAATCATTGGTGACTGTTCAATGACTATACAACTTTTTTTCCAAGTGACCCTAATTATTTTAAAGACGTGGGAGACGGGGATCAAAAACCTTTATTCTTGACGATTATTTAAAAGAGTACAGGGTGCGTCGGTAACTTTAAAAAAATTGAAAATTGGGCTTTCTTTAAACTAATAATTGACCATAAGGCTGTGATTATGTTGTCAGTTTCTTTCACATGACTATATAGGCCGTATGGACAGCTAAAATTTTTGTATTTAAGGTTTTCTGTGCAATATTCAATAACGTCATAGGTGACTCAAATTTTTCAAGGAAGCAAAAGTCCGTAGCCACATCTAAACAGTAGAAATTAAGCTTAATCAAATATCACCAAATATGTTGGCTTTCAGAAAAACATGATTTTCTCAAAAACTCTTCAACCGATCCGCAAAGTTTTAACAGGAAACGCGGGACAGCCAGGGCTATAACCTCTATTTCGAACAATGTTTGGATTATATGCAGGGCGTGTCTTGCAGGGACAAAAAAATCTAAAACATCCTAAATATTTCCATTTTTCTGGGTACATTATTAGGGATAAATGAAAAGATGCTAAATATGCGATAATTTGATTTGAACAATATCGTAAACTGCGTCGAAAGAGAGGTTCAGGTTTCGTCAATTATACAGGGCGTTCGACAACGCTATTATTTGTAAAAAAAAAAGAATTTACCAAAGTTTGCCGTTTGCTTATATAGGGTGTATGCACAATAAAATTACATCGATTCTGCGAAAGTTCCATAGTGGTCCGCAGGAGCACGATAGAAAAGCGATGAGTCCTTTTATCACAAGAAACGGCGAAGTTCTTTCTTAAAAAAAAAGCTGCTTCACGCTAGGCGCTACGAACTTGCCCCGCCCAGTGACGATTTTTCGAAAGCGATCTTGTTGACTTTGCTTCTCGTTCTTCTGGTGTCAGTATTAATAGCTCAGTCTAGCAAGTCTAGTCGGAATGATGAAATCGCGAATAAGATGAATTTTAGCCAACGAAAAGCTAATGACATATGTGCAGTGGCGAAATCCACTAGAAAAAACGCGTCCAATGTCGAAGGAAATTCAAAATGTTATTGTTCCTTTTTTAAAATTAATAACGTATTCGGTTAGCGCCCAAACTCGCTTACCGAATTTAGTAATAATCAGCTGACCGCATAATTCACGCAATCCTGATAAAGTCTACGTACTTCGAACAGTGAAAGCGGTCGTTCATTCCTCGTGCCATCAGCAACGGTACGTACGGTAGCGGACAGTCTCGACCCACTGCGATCCTGCATATCGCACACGGTTGCAACTTCGACGTCGACGTCGCGTCGTCGTTGCGAAGGCGCCGCCGTCTCCACGATCAGTCTTCGACCGTTATCCGCAGGAATCAGTTGCGTTGGCGCTGCGACGAGTTAATACTAGACCACGCGACACGTATTAGAAATGCTGCCATCCAAAGGATTCTCGCCGAATGATCCTGGGCGGCATTGACTTTTCCAGTGCGGCCGCTCGTCTCTAGTGTTTTCATAAATTACCCCCGATTTGCCTCGTCGCGGGGTCTTTTGCTTTATCGCCGGACTCACGAAAGTCCATTTCGGTTATATAGGTGGTTGGTTAGTTTGAGCTGGGATTCTGTGACGCGAACAGGCTGTTGCATAGATTTATCGGGTAAATACTTTATGTTTAAACTATTGAGTATGCTTGGTTGGTTTGGTTGGTGCCGCAATTTGAAAATCACACGAGGTAAAAGAGGTCTACGTCTACATAAAACATCGCTTTCGATTTAATTGGGTGCAATGTATGAAACGTCGTAGTTGCTTCAATTATCCACATTATTATCAACTAGTTTCAACTACAGTCACGAAGCATTTACTGTTCCTTTTAGAGTCTCATCTACGCGTTAGATATAAATGTTTAGTAGTTTGTTGACATTTGTTTCAGTTTAGGTGAAGAGAAGGTATTTGAGACACAGCTAATTATAAATTTCATTTTAAATATTGAAAAACATAATTGCATGGGTTCATAAACCGGCTAATTTTTTGAAAACAATTGTTTCTTTGTAGTTTTCCATTGGGCTGGATTGATACGACCAACAAAGGTTCTATGGCCACCTGTTTTCAAAATACTTGATGTGATACAAATCATACTAACACTATCGATTAAACTATTCTAATAAAATGAAGGAAATTAATGTAATCAATATTTTTGTTAACAAATGTAACAATGTAACTATAAAATACAAAACCATTTGTTTTTACAAGTTATGCACATTAAAACCTTCAAGTTATACAAATTAAAACGCCCCGAAAACTTGCAATTAGTGAACAAGCTTTGAGCGTACTCACTTTTTGGAATGTCAAAAATACTTTATATTGCGCTTTAAAAATTCAAAGAAAAAATTCGTTCGTAACCATGAACATTTGGTTGTGCTGACGATATAATTTTCAAAAAATTTGAAATCTAAATTTGGTAAAGTCAGATTTTCTGAAATTTGAAAATCAGAATTCATGCCGAAAAGGCTTATATTCTGACTTTTATTGATTACAAATGAAACGTGAAAGGAGTCTACTTAAGTTTCTTATTAAAAAAATTGCCGTAGGTGTTAATGCTTCAATTATTCGCATTACTATCAACTAGTTTCTACTACAGTCATATTTATCATCTCATATCATTTACCATTTCATATTAACTGCGCATAGCTGAAAAGTATTGTCATCTTATTATAAATTTCATTTTAAATATTAAAAATAAAATTACATTGGGTCAAATATCAAAGAATTTTTTTCACAAGATTTTTAAAATCATTTTCTTCGTAGTTTTCTGTTGTGATTTATTAATTGTATAATACGTTAAATCTAATTTCTGATATTTATTTGTAGATGCATTCCATTCCTGAATTAATACTAGCGATATATTAAAGGTTTTATAGGAATATTTTTTGTATAATGGTTATTTTTACTATAAAACAATAACGATTTGTAGAATAATCCATAGTGTAAGTATGTAAAAAAGATAAAAGAATTTATTCTAGTTATACATATTAAAAGGTAAAAAGTCTAACGATTATCAAAACTAAGTGAATAATGTTGGTAATGAATCACTTTTTGACACGTTGAGTTATTTGATTTTATAATCATAAATTGATAATATGCCACTTTTGCTTTAAAAGTGCAAAGAAAAAAAATTGTCTAGAAATATGATAACACGTCATATTTTCTTTGTATTTGGTATAATTTCGCTTAAGTTTAAGTTTAGTCACACATTTTTGGAAATTTTAAAATCATAATTCATTCCGAAATAGTTTACGTTCTAATTTTTATTCATAATTTGTTTTAGCTTTTACAAGCGAATCCCGACTTTGATATCGAATGGAAATAAGAAATGAATGCTTTTATTTCGGCAAATTATACACACTAAAAAGTTAAATGTTAAACTTTTGCCGCCAACTTTCTTCGTTGTTTGTCAAACAGAATTTTATGATCCTCACATGACTTTTACTTTTACTTATGACATCTTGCATCATTGTAATCGAATTAATTGAGTGATCGCTATATATTTCTTCCAATATCAAGCCTATTCTAGAATGTTTAATGCTGTAAGTACGTATGCAAGTTATAAGAACGATGATATGACTAGAAAATTATCGTCTTTTGCTAGTTTTCTGTGACCCGGTCCCAAATCGCGACGTTTGCTTAAAGTTTTTCAGTGTTAAACACTCACGTGCTCCATGTACTTTTTATTTTTTGAATTGAATTTGGGATTCATGCCACTATTTATTACGATTACGTTACATGTAACTTTGCATTCTGCTGGAAACAGAATGAGATGGAGCGATAAAATGGTTCCTAAAGTAGTAAGCTACGAAATCATATTATAAAAAACACTTCCATTAGATAGATTTAATTAAAATTAACGGAAAAACTAACTTATAATGTAACTACTACTGCTTACAACATGACTAAAAGTTATTCCAACAGAAAGAGGTACAGGAAATTGTTCATTACATTGGTAACATTCATCGAATAAATAATTTTGCAATTTTGTATTTCTAAATGTGTCTATTATATGTGGCCATTGTCCAAACAGTGGATTAATAAGTTCTAGGTGTGCTTTTGACAGTCAAGGTCCTGCAGAAACCTGTTTTATTTGGGACACCTAAGTATATCGAAATCAAATGTTTCAATACAGAGATTTGATTGTTAATGATTTTAAAACTGAACAAAGTGTACACTCCATATCCCCGATGGTTCAAAAAATATTTGTGGAAGGGAACTTTCTTACACACTCGCAGTGTATTAAAATACGGTGACGGCGTGCTTACCTTGAATCAAACAACAAACGAAATACATAAATAAATTTCAAAGAAAAATAACATAAATTTAAAACAGCTTCCACGGATCCGCAACTAAGACTGTAAAAATCACGCTATCCAAAATTCGAAAGCAAACATTTTTAAATTACAAATGAGAATGAATTTATTTCGATGTCTCATCTACAAGCGGATTTGTTAAAATGGTATCTGCTAATTCAATTATCGACTCCGGTTTTGTTAATAAACGGAAATTTGTATTTTAATCTGAACTGGGAAAATATCATTGATAAAATATTTCCATTTCGCTCAAATTTATATATTTACAAATCGGGTTTCTTTACTGCCGGTTATGCAACGGGAATATTAAAATTTTGTTCGGATTGACGAGTCCATTGGTGTGCCGGGCGGTTTCTTAAGGCATTTAAATTTATTTAAAGCATGATTTAAGTGGGTATTTAAATCATATTTAAAATTCTTGTCAAGGTAAAAAGAAACTTGGAATTTTAATTATTGTACTTTTACTAGTTTCTGAGCAATTTCTTGGATATGTCTTCTATTTGTGGTGTTTTTGCCTTCTACAGAAAAAAATAGAAGTTTATAAAAAACATTGCAAAATTTAAAAAAAACTAAGCGGCAGTATTTTCATACCGATTGAAATATTATGTTGCGTTCCTTAGAAATGTGGTTCTAATTGTCAACACTTATTAATTTGCATTTTTAAAATTCTAAGCATTTATGAAAAATAATCATTATTATAACAGTCTTTATTATCCAACTGATTGACTTTCACCTAAAGAACATTTTTTTCTTTAACAAACTAACCAAAACTAACATACTGGTACAGTAAAGTAATTGTAAAAACGCATAATGTATACTGTTTACTGTAACAAAAACTTATGTTTCATTAATGTGGTAAATATCTATATCATTACAGAAGTGACTAAATTACTATTAATATAATAAAAATAACTGTAATAACAACACTTAACTAAAAATAAGCCGAATTTAGATTAAAAAATATATAAATAAGAAGTAAAAGTCCAGATTTTCACGAAATTATGTATTTTCACATGACAATTGTTTCGACAACACCGTGTCTGTATCAAGTAATATTTAAATTTAAAATGATTTTCATAAAGTAAAAGCCACCTCAGTTCGATATTTAGATTGTTTACATCTACCAATGCGGTATTAAATTCTAATATGATCTGACGTAACTGACAATAAGACATTAAATTAATAGAAAACCCTCATTTTAGTGCCCAAAATATTACATGTATTCTAATCAGTGAGGTCCAAATCTGTTAACAAAGACTATATTTTCCTAACCGTATCTGTTTGACTGACACTCGCTATTCCTATAAAGCAACCCAACGTTGCCAAATGATCGGAACATATTTGCGGCAAATGTTTCACTTTAATTTCGAATCGTAATCGAGTAAAGTGACAACACAGAGATGAGCTGGAAAACTCCACCTTCTGAGATTATCATAGTAGGCTTTTGCGCATGCCCAGACTGACAGCGAGCGAGAAATACTTATTTGGATGTCCATTGCTAAATTTTTTTGGGCCTCAAATAAAAGTCGATGAGAAAATTTGAAAAGTAAGTGTTTGTGAATAAAGTGAACGCTGCAATCCAAAAGGATGAACTGGAAGTTTTCGTAGCTCTTATGTGTTCAATGAACGAAACATTAGTTGCACTCGTAAGTTACTTTCTTTTGTCATTTGGATTGGTTGATCGAACTAAAGTTGTAAATTTAATTGGGAATAATAAGACCGGTAATCAGTATTTTATAATACCTAATAACTAAATACTATAATAATAACACAAATAATAATAAAAATAGTCAGGCATCCTTGGTAGTAGACAAGATAATAAGGATCCTTACTCGTTTTTTTCCCATTTGGGTGCGAGGAACTGACGGTCCTGAAAGCTTTTTAACACTAATGCTGAAAAAACTTATTTGTTGGATTGCGAATTTATGAGATAAGCCATAGTCTCGCTAAGAAGTAATTTGAACACCTTTGTTTTAAATCATTTGAATTAATAAATGCATTTTTTTTTGGAATATCAGAAAACCCTGAGAATCATTCCAGTAACATCATATACTTCATTTTCAAGGTAGATCAACATATACAGTTTTTTTTTTGGTGTATTTTTTAATCTATTTTTTTAATTAAGTTTTATTTTTTTAATAGTCAGTACTAATATACTGCTATTAAAGGCGCGATATTTTTCAGACAATTTCAACGATTTCTTGAATTATATTGACGTTTTAAATGATAATATTACGAAACAATAATCTACAGTTGTTAGTGGCGTGCTTATTTATTGTTTATAATTATTTTTGATTGG